GTCCCACGATGCGCTGAAGTAGTGCTAGAGATACCTTGCGTCATTTCAATCAGTAGGGTGTGTAGTGTTATTACAAGCGACTTCATGTGGGGTGTAGCTATCAGGGACGTTAACATAGTCCTGGATCGTGGTGTTGGGATGGGGGTGACACCATTTAGGGGGCGACACCAAGGCAAAAAATAGTAAAATATACAGAGAAAAATGATAATTCCACTTAATTAAGCGATTAATTCGAATGTTAAAAAGTCTTTTAAGAGCAAATTTGACAAATCCCGACAAGGGTGGAAAGGGGGGGGGGGGTGCAAATCGAAAGTTTGAGGGGGGGGGGGGGTACAAATCGAAAATTGAAAGTTTGTCCCCAGGCGACGGGAAGGGTCGTTATGCCTCTGGGGGGGGGGGGGGGGGTGACACCATTGAGTGCCGCACCGGTTGACACCCCGACTTCGCTACGCCACTGTCCTAATTATAAAATATTTTAAACTAAGTTGAAATAAGTATAGCACCTGCCGCCCCCCCCCCCCCCTAAACACATACACACTCCTACAAACACGTACTCACTTTGTATGATCCCCCCTTTTTACAAAAGTAAAAGCTCCTGAAAAACCTAGCGATCCTTTGGGACAGATGAAGTAGTAGAGTTCATGATTCTTGACATCCGGCATTATGAAGTTATGGTGTGGTCAGCACCATGCCCAGCCGCCTTTTACTTTCCCCAAGTCAGGTACCCATAAGCGCTGGGTCGACTCAAGTACTTCCTACAGACACAAGTCCGAATCGTTTGAGTTGCATTTCCTACTTAGTTTGAAAAACAAATTCGCTAAAATATTATCAAAACAAAAATTCCAAGATGTTACCTCAACCCCACCGATCCACATTCGGGTGATCGTGACCGAAAAGAAAGATTATAAACAGATTTTTTTTTCCATCTTTTGATTTAGATGTTTTAACTATAAGATTTGAACAAATACAACTCAGACCACCTCACCTCAATTCAAGGGTAAACACACGGTGCCGAAGCTGTCCAGGAAAAAAGGAAAGCGGCCCGTCTGGTCAAACATAAGTTTTTCATTGTACATTTTTTTTGTGCAATATTTTTACGTCACTACGCATGTAAACAATAGGGCCGGCGCTACTTATAAGACGAAATAGGCGGTGGCCTAGGGCGCTGGCCGTAGGTGGGCGCCAAAATGGGTTGGAAAAACAAATTGAAAGTTTGAGGGGGGTGCAAACAGTGGCGGAACTAGAAAATAAAGGCTCCCCCGCAAAGAAAAAATTAAGGCCCCCTATATATATATATATATATATATATATAGTATATATAGTATATATATATATATATATATATATATCTATAATAATAGTTTCGCTGTCCTCTCTATCTATCTATCTGTCTGACAAGAACGCTCTAGAGAAAAGACAAGCAATTTAAAAAACATGCACAGTAATTCGAAAAACGAAGTATGACGTCGACACATTTAGCACAGAGTAGAAAATAATCTCAAACCCAGAGAGTGCTCACAGTTATATGACGTCATTGATTTTCGCGTTAACATTGAATAAAAAGGAAATGTTGTCTAATCTTAATGATTTGCGTGAAGAGTTTCTTGCATACAATTCTTCGGGTAGGGGCGAAGGCCGCCACCCCCCGCGTAAGAACGTCTGAGCCCCCCCCCCTCCCCAACTCAAAAGAAATTTCTTCATCGATACTACTCTATAATAAAATTACCGCCTAATTAATGTGTCTAATCTAAAAAGTGGTTTTCTTGTGGGTGGGGTGGGGGGGCTGGTGTGTGGGTGGGGGGTGGGGGGTGGTGTGTGTGGGGGGGGGGTGGGGAATGTTGGGGGGGGTGGGGGGGAGGTGTGAGTGGGGGGGTGGGTGGGGCGGTGGTTTCCTCATCGATACTCTATAATAAAATTACCGCCTAATTAATGTGTCTAATCTAAAAAGTGGTTTTCTCGCAATTTCTTTAATGCAATTCTTCGCGTAGTGGCTAAGCGCGACACCAGTGTTTCTTTCAGACTTTTTCCTCCCCGGAGAGCGGTGGGGGTACTTGAAATTTTCGGGGGCGGGGGTAAAATTTTCGGGGAGGGGGCGGACACTGGAAAAAGTATATAATTATATTTCGTTGAATGGGACGGTAGACATGTTTTTTGGGGGGTGGGGGTGGGGGTGGGGGTGGGTGGCGGTGGGTGGGGTGGGGGGGGGGGGGGCTGGTGTGTGGTGTGGGTGGGGGGTGGTGTGGGGGGGGGGGTGGGTTGGTTTTAGTTTAGAGAAAAGAGACAGCACTATCAACCTAGCGCCCGGTGTATCCTTCCTCAACGGGCCATTTTTCTCGTATATATATATCCTAACTGAGTTATTTAGTCTACTTCATTGCAGTAAATAACCATTCTGAGAGAACAAACCAGACAAATTTAGTCCAAACTCATCTTGGGTTAGAAATAATTATGGCCACTACTAAAAATGCTGCTCAAAAATATATAAAGACGTAAGCTTGATTCGTGAATGGTTTCTCGCGTTATGTTTATTTTTTTTTTCATTTTTGGCTTATATAATATCAATTTTGAAAACATTGATTTTTATAGCTATATCATTGTTTAGTACGTCTTATTTAAATAACAATTCAGAGAATCAATTGCTTTTTAATATACATAGTACAAAACTATTTAAATGAGCTTCGTGGGCATACCTATTTTAAAGTAGGGCAGTAAGTCATGGAATTAGTGTGGATGTTTGCCTACCTTTCAAACTATAGCTTTTGTAGATTTCAAAATATATTTCTACGCAACAATGTCTGCTATAGTAGACCTGTTTTTTTTTTTTTTTTTTTTTTTTTTTTTTTACAAAACCACTTTCAAGATGCATGAAAAACCTAATTTTTGAAAAAAAAAAATCATTGTTTTTGGTCGGAACTGGGCCCCTAAACGTCCCTGCCCCCCCCCCCCCCCGCATTGCGGGTTCTGGCGGTATGGTAGTTCCGCCCCTGGGTGCAAATCGAAAGTTTGAGGGGGGTGCAACTCGAAAGTTTGTCCCCGGGGGGCACGAGAAAAATTGCGGAGGGGAGGGTGCTTTTAATAAGTTTTGATTATAGCGCTAAATAACCTGGCGACGGC